ATTTCTCTGTTGACATCCACCCCTTGGCGCTCATATGACCTTATGCAGTTGCGAGCATTGTAAAACCTCTACTAAAAGCAACAAAGTATTCATAATCCACTGCTGTTTTCTTCTCCCCCCTCCTCCTCCTCACGCCCCCCCTCCTCTCCCAGTACACCCCTCTGAGCCCTGGCTCCAGCTTCAACGCAAGTTTCTCCAACGGGCCCAGCATGAATGGCGGCTACATGGCGTCTGCTGCTCCGACAGTGGTCCCCACTGCTGTGCCGCCCGTACCCATCGTCAATGGTTCTATTCCTGCCCCAACACTCAACCAGGTGCAGTGTTATATATAATAGTTACTTTTAAACTTTACATATACTGGTCCCCTCGACGCTTAACGGCAGCGGAGGATGAAAAAAGAAAAAAAAAGTATAATGGTCACTTTCAAACGTTATATATATAAAAGTCACTTTCAAACGTTTTACATAATGGTCACTTTCAAATGTTATATATTATAATGGTCACTTTTAAACGTTATATATAATAGTCACGTTTAATCGTTATTTATAACGCAGTCACCTTTGAATTAGAAATTGTTTATTGACTTGGCCCTTTATAATAATGACTTTTACTGTTATACGTGTGCCCTTTGCGGATGGGATCGGGTCGGGTTGGGATGATCGCAGGACTTGTTGCCTGAAAACAAACGCATTTGTTTTTGGGGCGATGAGTTGGGCACGATCGGCTTGTGTCAGGATAGCCACTTTGCTCCCTCAATCTGGCTAGCAAACTGCCCCGACCCTACCCGATCCACAAATGGGCATCCCATTTGATAAGATAGATGTTCGTCTGTCTGTCTGTCTGTCTGTCTGTCTGTCTGTCTGTCTGTCGAAAATCAAATTCTAAATGTTGAGAAAAGATTCATAAATTAGGTACATTTTCTCAAACAATTGGAGTTTTTTTCTCTTTTCCGAAATGTTTTGCTTTCGTTCACTTGCGGATGATATATTAACATTGTTCTGTTTGTCTGTTTGTTTGTTTGTTTGCAGACATCGGAGCAGAACGAGAGCCCGCGGCGAGTGAACTTCATCAAGTCCACCTTTGAGAACCGGAGAGCTCCCCCCGCCCAGCCAAAATCTCCCCCGCCAACCGCCCCGAAGACGAACTTCAAACTGACCTCTCCGGACCAGCTCAACTCTTCAGGTGGGAGTTTTTACATTGGTACATGTGAGGTGTTGTGGTGATATCAGCCAACGATTGTTCATAACAAGATAGTTCACTCGGCCAAAGATCATACATAACAAGATAGTTCACTCGGCCAAAGATACATAACAAGATAGTTCACTCGGCCAACGATTGTTCATAACAAGATAGTTCACTCGGCCAACGATTGTTCATAACAAGATAGTTCACTCAGTCAACGATTGTTCATAACAAGATAGTTCACTCAGTCAACGATTGTTCATAACAAGATAGTTCGCTCAGCCAAAGATCGTACATAACAAGATAGTTCACTCAGTCAACGATTGTTCATAACAAGATAG